GTGTTTCCATTCTTAAATTCCTTCATCTAAAACTTACATCGACGGCTGTTCGGCCGCAAACGAATTTTTAATCAGGTTGGCGTGGCGGCTCTTGACTTTTGCTCCTGACAGATCGTGATTGCGCCTCGCGGCGTGGCGTGGTGGGGCGTGGCGGGGCGCGCCGACGCGCAGTCATTGGCGGGGCCCGGCCTTCCCCGACAGTTTTGTTCGCCTTTAACCCCCTCTTCCTTGCGCCCGCCTCCCCCTCGCCCTTCACTTCCCGATGCCGACCCACTCTAAAACCTCCCGCATCTAATTTGACGTGGCGACCCCGCGCAGCTCCGCCGTCGTCGAGCGCGGAAACAAACAGAAAACGCACAGCGCAAAAAAAAACAACAAAAAAAGGTTTCGCGGTGCGCGGCGTTACAACGCGCGGCCAAAAGTCATTTCCAAAGTCGTTGACAGGTCGTTCTGTTTTGTACTCCTTCAGGGTTCCCTTTTTGTTTTTCAACCTGTCGACGCGTGAAACCTGCGATTGCCAGGTATGACGGCGAGAAAAACACAACACGAACGTAAGCCGCGGACACAGCCCGCTATGAAAACTCAATTCTGATACTGTCCAACAGTTTTAAGTGCAATACTATGAGTATCAACGCTGCTTCAAAGTACTTTAAAGTGTAGTACCATACATTGACACAATTTTCATTCAAAATGGATGGACCCACCTGCATGTTGCAGATCTTGTAGCGCATCGCCTCGCCCCGGCAGCCCGACGGTGACTTGCACCGCCGCAGCTGGTAGGAGGCGCCGCCGTCGCACGTCCTGGAGCACGTCGACCAGTCCGACCACGTGGACCAGCCTCGAGAGGACGTCCTCCGCTCCTAAACAGGACAAAAAGAGAAGAGAGACACTGTAAGCTGGTGGTCAAGAACAAGCAGTGCGTTAAATTATATCTTCAGTAGTATGAGAGGAGTTTTATCACATTTAAAGATTCAAATAAATATTAGTTTATAATTTCACTTCAACCACAGGCAAGTGAGGGTATTTAATAGAATACCTACAGCTGATTGTGACAATTGTTTGCCTCACCCAGAGACGATATTTGTTTGTTCTACTATTGTTCAATACATAGTAAGTTTAATCTGTTAACAGCACTCATTTATCGAGGTGAAAAGTCATCACTCTCCCACTTCTAATTTCTGAGGACTGAGAACTAAAGATAACTACGGAAAAACTAGAACCAAACTTTCAAACTTTTAAGAATAATGAAAAATAAAAAAATGGAATATGCCAATGACTTTACTGTTGCGGTTTTGAGGGTCATCATTTTATTATTTATGGTCATTTTCAAATATTCTCCTCCACCCTTACCACACCCCTACCTCCACCCCTCGTTCTTCACTCCCACTTCCCTCCTTCCATCTGTGCATTACTGAGTTCCTTTTACGTAACATCTGAGAATTTTAGCACACGAACGACTAACACTCAGCCACTACGGGCTGCTGCACGTACTCCTACGGTAGTTAATTAAACGATTAACGCAGAGCTTGGCGCCTGCGAGACTCGGGGTAGGCCACCATGCAGTACAAACATGCAACACATGCAAGATGTTGCCTACCCATCAGGCGCTACGAGAACGAAAGCTCGCAGAGCCACATACCCTCTGAACTTGGCGGGATCGTAGCCGCAAACGACCGTGTCGTACTTTTTGAAAGACCCCTTGGCAATACTATCGGTTTAAGCCATTTGCCAGTCTGAGGGCGGCCAATCGGCTCATTTTTACTTTAGCACAATTCACAATTTGGCTTATCGGCGACAAGACGTGTGGAGACAATGTGCAGT